GGCATATTCCATGATCTTACTCCTGGGTGTGTGTGGAGACTTTGGAGATGAGCATAGGGTCAGGAGACCTGAGTTTGAATGTCAGTTACTTAGCTTTATAATCACTAGCCAGTTAACCTCCCTTGGCTTTCATTTCCACATCTGTAAAATAATATATCCAATCCAGGATTATTGTGAAGGTTAAGTAAGTTAATGTGTGGGACGAGGCCTCGCACAGTACTTAGCACTTGGTATTTGTTAAATGCTGGCTTGTGTGATCCTGTTTTTGAGGAAATAAGAGGAGGGGTACTTCTCTGTGCTTCGTGGAAGTGAGTTATATCTTCTGAGTAAATAACAGTAATTCCTAAGGGAGTATCTTGTATATAGCAAGTACTTGATGAATGAATGAATGAATGAATGAATGAATGAATGAATGAATGAATGAACGAACGAACGAACGAGCGAACGAACGAACATCCTGGACAGAGTTACTTGTCCTGATGGTGCTCAACCAAAACCAATATTACTTTGTCAGAGGGTGAAAGCCGCTTGCTAGGGAGTGATTCTCATGATTGAAAGGCGGATAGATAGCACAGATTAGTCACCTGGAATTCAATTATTCTAAAACTATTGACTTGCAGGAAATTTTAATTTCTGAAATTTATATATTTTTTTTGTTGGTGCTAGAAAATTTGCCATATGATAGAATTGGCTGGAACAATGATTCTTTCTTTTTTTTTTTCCCCTAAAAAGATTTTCAGTTGCTTAGGAAAACTGGCCTCTCACAGGGCTGGTGGTGTAGGGCCCACATGGCATCAGTGGCTGGTGATACCAGTGGCTTTTTTGCTTGTCAGCTCAGAGTGGTGTTAACACAGCTTCTTAAACAAACATATAGAACATATGTCGGCATTTATTTATTCATTTAATAAGGTCATCAGGAGATAAAGTATGCCAGTTTAAATTAACCGGAGTTTAGGCCTGACTGCTGTTTTACCTCCCGTGGTCATAAAAACATCACATTTTTATCTGTGATAAGGTTAAATCTGTGATATGAATGGTTTGGGCCACAGTCTGACATGACCCATTAATCAGAAATAATAAGTAGTGTATCTGCAAACCAAATGACAAGCAGCTTGATCTGTGGTGATTAATTAGATGTGCCAAGAAACAGGGTTTTATGTACTCACAAGGAGCCATGCACCCGGATGCCAGATAGAGGTCAAACAGAAGTCAGCTAGCAGAAGCCTGAGTCCTGCTTTTTTTCAAGGAAAACTTTCCAGCGTGCCATTGAAGATGCTGAACATAGGCTTTACGTAGTTCTTATTTTGGGGACACAACTTGCCTTTCACGGTGGGGAGAGGTATTCCATGGGAAGGTACAGCCCGTCGGAGGGGACACGTTTGAAGACTGAGAAGGTTGAAACAAGGAGTGAGAGCTCCCTGTGCGCTCAGACACCTGGTCACGTTCGTGTCCAGCCTTAGAGCCCTGGAACAGTAGTGGCGCTGAGAGGACCCATGGAGAACATCACAACCTGTGGTTTTCAGACTGTGTTTTGAGGAGCCCACGGGGTTAAGGGGAAGCTGAACAGCTGTGCTATACAAAGCGAACAGGCCGTGCTAAGCAGGGACACCAAAATAACACCTGGGAAAATTAGTCTTATGTGTTACGGTTTAGTATTGCTTTTAGTTTGAATTGTACGTGGGAAGGGGGTGAGCATCCTAATCTCTAGTGCTTAGGGCCTCTAAGGATTTTTATCCAGCCTCGCTGGCTGGGACCCCCAAACCCCTCCTTTGCCTCCTCCCTGGCATTCTAGAGCAGCTCTGTGTTTATCTGCTTTTGTGATCAGGGTTTTAAATAACACCGTGTGCAAAAGAGTACAATCTAGAGTGCATTGCAGTACCCAGAAAAAGTTTCATTTATTCATCTACTTGCTCTATTCTGTTTTGTGTTGCTTAGGCAGTGAGTTGATTGGATTTATGTCTTTGAATGATTATTCTGGAAGAAGGTGGGGTTGAAGGTGGGAAAAGACCTCCGGACCTCTGTTTTGGTCTCTGTGAAATAAGGCTGGTGTAGCTTCTGTGATTCGTGATGGTGAATGAGCCCTGAAGCCTGAGTTCCTGTAAATGACAGGTTTTCCATATGAAAGTCGGCCAGGGAAATTATTCCTGGCATTTGGAGTCACGGAAACTGTTTGATGTTAATGGGTTTACCAGAAAGGGCTTTCGTGGGGTTCTTTTGGCCCAGGGCAAGCTAGCTGTTGATGTAATCAGGAGACCACAAAGAATGATTTCTGCCACCTCTGTCCTTCCTTAACAGTGCATGGCTCCTGTGACTCATGCTTCTGAGGCTTGGCCTTGGGAGTAAGGGATCACATTTCTAGGGCTGAGGCAGGGCCAGCCTCCTCGGCATCGCCCTCTTCGGCAGGCCCCAGCCTGATAATCCCGGTTTCCTTGGGAGCCTTGCCAGAGGCTTCTCCTTCATCCTGGGCCTTGCCTAGGTCTGACCAGACTGGCTGCAGAGCACCTGGGAATCAGTTGCCAAATCACAGTGCTGGAGAGAGTCGTAGCAGCCTTAGAGATCTGTGGGTCTGGGGGTTCCCAAAGCTGGCTGCATATTGGGAAAGACGGTCTCCTCCTGTCTCCTCTTGAGTCTAATTCAGTAAGTCTGTAATGGGACCCAGAAAATAGTGTTTTTTAATACTGTCCTAAGATGGTTTTCACTTGGCACAATATAGGGCATTTGGTGACCACTTGATCAGGCTCATACTTGAATTTTATTGGACCATTTTCCCCTCAATCCAGTGGACTTAAGAAAATTAAATGAGACATGCTCATGCTTAGAAAATTCAAACAGCAGAAAAACATGAAGAATGAGCAGCAAAGTCTTCTCCCACTCCTAGTCTGGCCCCCAGGTAATCACTATTTAACACTTTCTTTGGATTCTGCTCATAAATGATTTTACATTTATGTATTGTCCCCCATCTTTCTACTTAATTCTACAAAATCTGAGCCAGAGGAATAATCCTATGCACATTATTCTGTACTGTACTTTTTTCCCCCACTTAAAATGTTCAGAACTCACTGTAGATCATCATTCTTTTTAGTAACTATTAAATACGTTAATATTTGTAACACACTTGGAACAATACTTGGTGAATAGCAAGCACTAAATATTTGTTAAATGAGTGAATGGTGTACCAATATATGGATATATGCTATATTACTGTTATGGACACTTGTTGCATTGGTTGCTGTAACAAACAATGCAGAAATGAGCATCCTTGTGTGTATATCTTGGGGGCTTTGCCTTGGATATGGCCGTCAGCAGCTTACTTAGTGGGGCAAGAGTGGGCATGGAGCCAAAGGCATTAGAAAGGAAAAGGTGTTGATTAGGACAAAGCAGGGCATTGGACTAGAATTGGAAATTTTGTCTGGGACCTAGAATCACAGAAATACAGATCTCAGATCTCAGATCTCAGATCTAGAAGGAACCACAGGAGAGTGTTTGTTCCAGCCTTGTGCCCTCTGGGCAGGGAATGGGTTAGGTCTGTGGTTCAGTTCCCAAGTTGTACGCTGAGCCCTGGGAGCCACAGTGAACTCATTGGAAAAGTGTATGGGGGCTGCAGGATCTGTAACATTTTTGACATCCCTCAGACACTGTGCAAACAACTAGCTTGAGAAAGTTTACAGGTTAACGTTAACCTTACTTCATTCCCTTTGGCGATGCTCTATTTCGTGAAGCTGAGTTTTTGGTGGCTGCCAGGATGCAGCAGGCGGTGTGCACAAATGAATGGGCAGTGGGCAGTGGGCGTGGCATTGTCGAATCTGACCCCAGAGTCTGCAAAGTGGTGCAGTGTCTGCCCACTGCCCACGTCCCATTAGTAAGTAACTGGTGAAGAATGAAATAAAAATATTTTCTTTTTTCAATTTGTATGATTTTTTTTCAAGCAGCTACTACTCTGTTAGGACATAAATGCTTACTGCCTTGTTTGAAGCTAACTCCGTAATAAATGGAACTGCTAAGTATTTCTTTGGGCCCGCAGAGCTGTGAAAAAAATTACTAAAACACTAAGGGTGCTGTGAATTGAAAAAGTTTGGGAACAACCAATTTACCTCTTATCCATCAGAACTCTTGGGTGTTAAGTGGGAGAAGCCACGCTGACTCCGGCTTAAAGGCAGGGAATTATTCGTTTCTGTGTCTGGGGTGTCCAGGATTGCAGATGGCGTCAGACCGCATGGGGTTCGGGTCCTGAAGCCTCCATTTCTCCTTCCATCTCTAAGAGGGGCTGTCTACACATGGGTGAGACAGCACCCTGCCTGTCCTTTCCAGACTCACATCCTTTTGGTTTAGCAGTCCCCAGCAGAAAGAATCATCTTAACCAACAGCTGGTGCATAAAAAGCACTGGGAGGACTTGGGCTGCCTCGGCCGGGCTCACTTGCCCAGCCCTGAATTGAGGCTATGATTGGTGATGGCCAAGCCTAGAGCACATATCTACCCTTGTGCTCAGGTGAGCGCCTTCACTAAACCACACAGAATAGGTGGGTTCTCCACAGAAAAGAGTAGGTTTAGTTGCCAGGAGAATGGGAGAAGGGTACAGGACCAAAGACAAATTAACAGATGAGGGGCCAGACTGGTAGTGTGATAGTTCAGTAGTTAAACATGGAGGCTCTGGAGTCCCATGCATCTGGCTTCACTTCCTTGGGCAAATTAACTACACCTGTAAAGGCTTTAGAGTCCTCCTCTGTAAAATGGAAATAACTGAAGATAAAGTCCAAGAAATACAAAAGGCTGACAGTAATAGTCCCTGCCTCATGGAGGTGGTGGTTGAAGGGAGGGCTAAGTGAGTTAATACACAGAAAGTGCCTAGCATGGGGCCTGGCACGTAGGAAGCCCTCGGTAAGTGAGCCCATTATTCGTATCAGTCAGGTAACCTGAAGAGCACAGAGGTGGTAAGTGACCCAAGTTTCTGACTCCCGGAGAGGGTGCAAGATAATGACTTCCTCTTTCCTGTCTGTCACAGAGTGAAGCAGCATGGACGCCGTCAGCCAGGTCCCGATGGAAGCCATGCTCCCCAAGCACATCCTGGATATCTGGGTCATTGTCCTCATCATCCTGGCCACCATTGTCATCATGACCTCCCTGTTGCTGTGCCCGGCCACTGCGGTCATTATCTATCGCATGCGGACTCATCCCGTCCTCAATGGAGCCGTCTGAGATCAGATCTCCTAAGAGGGGCAAGGGAGTGATGTGGACGGTGTCTCCTCCCCCAACCTCTTCCTTCTCGGAAAAGCAGCAGGAGGGGCTTTGGAGTGTGGACTCTGGAGCCTGCCATGTGAGAGGAGATTGGGGGTTCTTGTTTGGATTTTGCCACCAGCCAGCTGTGTGAGTTCAGACAAGGGACCTAATTGTGTGGATTCCAGGTTCCTTCCCTTTTAAATGCTTATCATGATTCCTGCCCTTCCTACCTCAGAGGGTTGCAAGAACCAATGACTTGGTGGAGGTTAAAGCTGTTGGTGATTGTGAGCAGTTACACAGGTGTTATTGCTAAATGCTGAGAAGCTTAGAAGAACCAAAGCACCTAATTGCTGATGATGGCCTTCAAGGGGGCAAGGAAGATGCTGGGGGCAGAGCAGCCTTCGCCAGTGCCCCCCAGGTCAAACGAAGCAAAGGCACCCTGTCCTCATTCCAAGGGGCCAGCAGCACTTTGGCTCAAAGTCATTTTCTTTGCAGTGCCACTCCCTCAACTTTGTAATTTGGAGGGAATTGAGCGTGGCAGGGGGAGGGAGATGGGTGGGACCTCCCAGAACCTTCTCTGTGCCAGAATGTCTACCCCTATAACAACCTAGAGGAGGCTCTGCCATTTCTTGGCAATGCCAAGGGACCTGGGGTGATGGGCTTCTTTCTACATTGGAGTCTCCTCACGTTGACACTCAAGCAATGTTGGAAAACACAGGGTGGCTGAGTGGCCTGGGCAGCTTTCAGGATCTCCAACCCCCACCCACTTGTGTGCCCCACACTCGAGGAGCTCTGTCCCCCCTGCCCCAGCACCCGCTGTAACCAGCTCCATGGTGTGAGTGTAAGCCCTTCATTCCCTCCCACCAGCAAGCACTGCAGCCAGTCTAAGCTACAGATTTTAAGAGATGTTCCCAGGGCTTTTGGAACTATCTCAAAAGCAATGGTTATTTTAGATGCTATGATCTATATTTATAGAGAGAGATTTCTGGATCACTCAAGCTCCTTGACCAAAATCAGGAGTATCTTGGGATGTATTAAATTATGTAAAGAGATAGCACAGATATCAGAATATTGTGTGGAAGTGATGCTTTAACTTCGGTCTGACTTCATTGATGTATACAACCAATTTCCAATAAAGTGCTAGAATAAACATATCTGAGGTCTTCAGAGAGCACTTATTAAGCTCAGGAACTCGGGTAAAAGGATTCCACTGAATTTATGGGCCTTAGAGACCGTTTGAATGTAAGAACTGAAAGGGAAAGAGAAGAATCCAGTCGACTTTGGGGTTCTATCTTCGGCAAGTGGGTAGTTGGGCAGTTTACGTACACATAGGATGCAGAAGGAAGAACAAATTTTCTAAGTAAGCGATGAATTTTGTATTAGACGTGTCAAGTTTGAGGTGGTTGTGATCTTTAGGCGGACACTCTGAGGATGGAACTGGAAACCTGGGTGTGTTCTTTGGGAAAATTTTATGGCTGGAGTTATGCTTCGGGGGATTATCTGCATACGGTAGATATGCCACACAAGTGGACAGGACCACCCAGGCAGAGTACACAGACTGAGGCAGTGAGGTGCTAAATGCTGAACTTGGCAGACACTACATAGGAGTGGAAGGGGGACGGGTTGGGGCGGGGGGAGAAAAAGCAAGGAGGTGGAAAAGGTCATGTGCTAAGAAGTGATATGAGGGGGATGCGATCATACTGTGTGAGTTAAGGAATGAGTCAGAGGAGAGGAAGCAGAGACAGAAGGGACACCTCTTTCCAGGAATAGGATGTGGTCTAGAGGTAAGGGAGGAGGGTTTGGGAAAAATGGTCAAGGGGGATAGATATATGTGATAAGATTCTGATTGGTTTGCTCAGCATCCATCCCAACTTTTGCTTTTCTTTTCTTTTCTTTTCCCCTAATATGCCTTCCTAGGCGACAGAGGCTAGAAAGTGAAAACTTAACAATGAATGTGAACACCACATTTCCCTAACTGAACTATAGTCAGAGATTCAGACGTGATTTAGGTTTTGCTAATCAGATGCACACACGTGAGGCTTCCGTGTGGGACCTAGCAGGGCCTGGGACAGAGACCGCAGGGTGCGAAACATCCACGGTCCCATTGTCGATCCCTAGCTATGGGCATACGACACAGCCAAGAATTCTGCATTTTTAATGCGGTGCCCTGTCCTTCGAGAAGCATAGTACCGAAGTATCTGGGAACTTTGTTTCACTGTGACAGCTGCCCAGAATTTAAACCTCCTAATTGCTTGTTGGAGGAAAACTTGGAACATTTGTAATCGGTAAGCATAAGATCAGTCTTGGGCAATTCAAGCCTGCGAGAAGCAGCACACTGGGAATTGCTGAATGTGGGACATAGGCTGTGTGTGTGCATTCCCTAGCCTTTCCAAGTCTGATTCCAGGTCTGGAAAGTGGAACGTATCAGAATTAAATGAGAAAATCATTCTATGATTTTAGGGTGGAGTGTAAATAAGAGACTTTTAGGCAGTCCACCAGATGGCGATGCAGCTTTTTTTTTTTTTTCAAGTGGAGTAGTTAGCTCACAAGTTTTCAGCCCATCTTACCACATTCCTAGCAGCTCAACATTTTATCTTTCTGGTTCTGGTTTCAGCAACTCTGAAGGTAACTTAGGAACATCCAGTCCAACCTCCCCTATGATAAAGGAATCCCCTCTTGAATGAGAAGGTTGCCACATGTGGCCTATTCAGTATTTCCCAGTATTGTTCTAGATCACCTGCGACAGGTTCACCCAGGAGCATTTATTTATAAATTTGGCTCCCAGGGGCCTGCTTCACACTTACTGAGAATCTCTGGGAAAAGGTCTTGCGTATCTGCTTTGTAAAAACAAATTCCCTGGGTGATCAGTGAGCAGGTTAAACGTGGAGAACCACATGCTGGTGGAAAGGAATCCGCTTCTTACTGAAACCACTCCTTGACAGCTGTTGTATTAAAATTCTTCCTTTAAGAGAGAAGTCAGGCCTTGGGATGCTAGCTCTGCCCTCTTGGGGCCACCCTGAAGAGATCAACTTCCTTTTCCTCGGGAAATTTCTGAGCATTTTTTTTTTAAGATTTATTTATTTATTTTAGAGAGAGTGGGGCAGGGAGGGGCAGAGAGAGAAGGAGAGAGAGAATGTCAAGCAGACTCCTGCTGAGTGCAGAGCCCGCCGTGGCCTGAGCAGAAATCAAGAGTTGGTCACGTAACTGACTGAGCCACCCAGGCACCCACTGCTGAGCATTCTGAATGAAGATCGCTGTCATGACTTACCTCACCCCACCATCTTGCCTGGGTGGGAAATTCACACTTTGCATTACATGGTGGCTGTCATCCTCCCTCCCTCCTTTGCCAGGAGAGCAAGGGCCTGAAGGATCTTGGCTTCAGTATGCATTGGCTCTCTGATTGTGGACAAGTTAACAAACTCTTTGAGTCTTAATTTCCTCATCTGTAAAATAGGCATAGAAGTAACTCTAGCTACCTCACAGGTTTGTTACAAGGATTAAATGTGGTCACAGCCGCAAGGAGAAATGGTAAAATACAGCAAATTCTCAATACATATGATCTATTACTAACGAGTCCCAGTTTCTTCATCTCTAAAATGGTGATGACAGTTACTTCTCAGTGTGGAGAGGATTAAATGAGATCAAAATGTAAAGAATTTGGCCAGTGCCTGACTCATAGGAGTCTCTCAATAATGGTAACTATAATAGATGGCCAATAATGCAAAAATACCAAAGGCCTAATGGTGTTGGATCCTTAATCGCCAGTTAAAGTAGTAACATTGGCAGAAAACTTCCCTGCTGACATCCTGTAGTATTGGCACTAAATTCATGGAGGGCCTTAAACAAGTATAAAAGTTGTACCTCTTCTATATTAATCTCCCTTTAGAAATTCTTTCTTTCTTTTTTTTTTTAAGATTCTTATTTATTTATTTGAGAGACAGAGCACAGAGGGAGAAGCAGACTCCCTGATGATCAGAGATCCCAGGACCCCGAGTTCATTACCTGAGCCGAAGGCAGATGCTTAACTGACTGAGCCACCCAGGCGCCCCTAGAATTATTTCATAATTTATTCACCATTATTTAATAAAATACAAAGTTTTCCACTTTTAAGTTTTAATCCTTTACAGAAGTTGCTTTCTACATTTTTAAGTGTAAAAAAAATTTAAAAACCTTTCAGTAAGATAAAATTTTCATCAGGCCTTTACATGATTCTTGCTAAAGAGAGAATGGAAAGAGGATTGTGATGTGAAATGATGATAATAAAATCTTGAAATCTTTAATTACCGAAGTCGAAGCAACTTTTAAATTGTCCAGATCACACGAAGAATTTGATTGAGGTATATGAGAGGCTTTTCAATTTCCATAGAGATTTACATGCTAGAAAAAAGTTTTTGGGGCGCCTGTGTGGCTCAGTCGGTTAAGTGTCTGCCTTTGGCTCAGGTCATGATCCCAGGGTCCTGGGATAGAGCCCCCCCTACTCAGTGGGGAGCCTGCTTCTCCCTCTGCCTTTGCCCCCACACTACTCATGCTCTCTATCGCTCACTATCTCAAATAAATAAAATCTTTTTTAAAAAAAATTTGTGTTAGCAGGTTAGCAAGTAATGTTGACATTATTTGTCAACATCCAAAAAGTTTTTATATATATTTAAAGTTGGACAGCTACCATTATACAGGGAATTGTTTACATGTATGAACTTCCGGTCAAGCAGACTGAAATCCATGTGGCGCCACCAGCATGTTCTGTTGAAAACAGCTGTCTCAGAGCCTCACTGCCCTCATTTGTAAAATGGGAGATCATGCTTATTTATCTCTGCGGTGCCGCTGAGATTAAGCAAGACACGGATCTAAAATATTTACAGACCCTGACTTGCAGTAAGTACTCAGTGCTTCTATGTTACCTAAAAATGTAGGAGGATCGTTAGCTCTCTCTTTTATATACAGATACGGGTGGGGCAAGTCGGCTGGATTGGTTTCACCCAAACACCCGAGGAAACATTCCCAGGGCACCTGCAGGAGAGCAGCAAGAGGCAAAGACACCAGCAGGGTGTTTGCGAATTCGGTTCTGACACCCTCCACCTGGAGAGAGAACATCAGATCCCGTAGGTAAAGGGTTCAGTCCCAACAGCACTGCTCTCCACATCACAGGCCAGTCGCAAGCCCCAGTTGTTACCTGTGCTTCTGACCTATGGCTACAAATTGGAGGATCCAACAACTCCTCTCCAACTCAGGGCACCAATGTCAAGTCCGGGTTGTTACCTGTACTTCAGACTGGCCGTAAATC